GTTGTTGCCCGCGGGGGTGCGGGATGCGGGGGCTCAGCGCCCTGCCGGGCGGGCGGCTCCTCTCTCTGCCCCGATGGGTCAGAGCCGGCAGCTGGGGCCTGGGGGGGAGGGAGGGCATCAAGTCGGGGTGTTGTGCGGTTTGAGAGCGCTGCTGTGAAAAAGGAGCAGGAGGGTTTGTGTGCTGAGGCGGCGCTGCCCGGCGGAGCAGGAGCGGTTCGGGCAGAGCGCGGCGCTTTGAGCGGGTCACGAGGCTCCCATGAACCCGGCAGATGTTTTACTCGGGAGCAGCAAAACCTTTCCGAGCTGAGCTCTCCTGCCAGTTAAAGCAACAACAACAAGGAAAAAAAAAAAATCCTCACGCAACACAGAAGGCGCGTTTCATGCTCGAAAGGCCCTTTCCAGCTCTGGGGATGTTGCAGATCCCCAGGACCCGGCAGCGTGGCAGGAGATGCGATCGGAACTGATGCGGCGTCCCTGTGAATTCCCGCTCCTGACCTCCCGGCGCAGGAATCGCTATTTATATCGGTAGGAACATCCAGGGATAAATAAAGTAGTGTGAGTCAATAAGAATTGACTATAAAGCCAAGATCTTTATTCTCCAAGTGCGTGGTGCCCACAGCCTCACCTCTGCCGTGGGGCTGGTGCTGCTGCAGACCAGCAGGAGGAGCCTCAGCCCCCCCAGCGGCAGCACCGGTAGGTCCCAGTGCAGCACAGACCCTGCCTGGTTTGGGGGGACCAGGGGTCTTTCTCATCTCTGCAGTGGCAGCGGGTGTATGTGTTAGGGAGAGACTGATGGAGTGTTTGTGTTCGTGCTCCCGTGGTGAGCTGCACAGAGCAGGCGGGAATGGGGCTGGGTGCCCCACAGCTGGTCAGCGCGTGGTGTTCCTGTTTGCTTTGGGATGTTGGGAGTGGTGATGGGCACCAGCTGCAGTGACTGGGATGCACAGGGCTGGGACAAGGAGCCCAGTAAAGGCCCTGCTTGATGTCGTCACCTCATGCCCTGGGAGGCCAAGGGGGCCCTTTGCTGGGGCTACCAGTGCCACTACCCTGCAGTTGGTGCTTGACCACGGCCCCAGTGCATCTGGCTTCACTGGCAGGTTCAGGTTCGTGCCAGGATGGTCCTTGGCTGCTTTGGTATCCTCAATGCAGCACCTTCCTTTCCTCTGCATCCTCTTCCTACTCCTGCTGTGGTGCTGGGGGCAGCTGGGCCCATGGGTGGGAGCCACCAACTGACATGGCTGCAAAGGTTTTTCTTGTCTTGTCATGGAAGAGGTGGGTGTTTCTCTTGCTGGCCCCACTTCTGCCCGCAGACCAGCAGCTCAATGTGCTGCCTGCAGCACGTTGCAAAGTTTGTCATCAGGGGTGGAGCAGCATCTTTGCCATCTGCAGCTTCCTCCAGGTCTCTGCCAAACCCCAAATGCCTCTTCATTTATATGCCAGATAAGTGAGTAAAATTTCGTAGCAAACAGGCACTTCATTAATCACCTGCCTTTACCATTCTGCTCACTCCTGGAAAGGAATTCGGGGTCTTGATAATGGCTCTGTTGTCCAGGCATGTGCCTCAAAGACTGATGCACCTGTCTCAGCAATGAAATGGCTTTGCAGAGAAATACGATCGCCTGCAAACCCAAGGCCCTACTGACAGCAGGACTCAGATAAGATAATCTTCCTATGCCACAGGGTAGGGGAACAATACTTGCATTATAGATTATAGCCACGCTCAAACAAAGAGGTTATTCTTATTTTTCCCCTCTTGATGAACGCATTTTGTTTAAAACAATTATGGCTTTTTGAACAAGTTTGCTGCTGGGGCTGAGGAATGACTCCAAGACCTGAGGAGAGCCTGAAGCTCCAGGGACTTTCATCTGCCTGCCCTGGCAGCTCCTGCAGGGACACAACTCCCGGCCGGCAGCCGGGCTGTGCTCCTGCTCCAGCAGTGCCTGGCACCAGCCTTGGTTAGAGCAGGCAAAGCACATACCTGCCTGCCCATGGGACATCCCCAGGCAGCTCCACACGGGCTCCCAGCCTTGGGGCAGCTCTCCTGTGGCTGGGGGGACCCTCGTCCCTCCACTCTGTTCCCTGGGCACAAAGCAGGCATCCATGGCTCCACTCACACTGTTAGCTTTGCACAGGGACATTTCAGTTCCCTGATGATGAGCACGTGGAGGATTAATGGCTGATTGCTCATTGTGAGTGGTTTCTGCTCCTGCTCAGCATCTCAGAAGGCTACCCTGGCACTGAGGGCAGCAGTTGGGAGCTCAAACAGATCATTTGCCACGTGGGACAGTGGTGTCTGTAGAGGGGGGAGAGGCGAGGGGGACACACAGGGAGGATGGGGGGCCAGGGAGGATGGGGTGTGCAGTCTGTGCCCTTGCTGCTGCCTTGTGCTCCAGACAGACCACAGCCAGAGTTCAGACCTGGCAGACTGGGCTCAGGGCTCTGCAGGTTGCAGTGCTGTGCCAGGGCAGCCATTCTGGCCTGTCACCCACTGCCCTCTGCCTTCCCTCCCCTTCCAGATGGACCCAGTGCAGAAGGCAGTGATCAGCCACACCTTTGGCGTGCCCACCCCTCTCAAGAAGAAGCAATTCATCTCCTGCAACATCTGCCATCTCCGCTTCAACTCTGCAGTAAGTGGAACCAGGGGCACTGGGCAGGAGAGCGGGGCTGGGCTCAGTGGCTGAGCAGGAGCATCTCGCGGTGGGGACCGGGCAGGGACCCATCGTGCCAGCAGCAGCTCCTGCCCTCCCTTGTTCTTCAGCCACCCTAGCTGACATTGCCACCAACATCTCCCTGCTGGTGGGGTCTGGAGCTGCCATCTCCTCTGGTTGCCAGGCAGGCTTCTTCTGCTTCCTGTCGCTTTGTTTGGGTCTGTTCCTGCTTGCCTTGACCTCAGTGTTTACACTTAAGCTGCTTTATGCACCCATGCAATTCCTGTCTGATCCTTGGCAGCTGAGTATTGTCTGCCCTGCATGGGCTGCCCAGAGCTCTGTGGCAGGTGGGGTTTTGTTTTCCACAGCCTTTTATTCTAAGTAAATCAACGCAAGGTGCTGGGAGCTCCCCTTGCCTCCCTGTGTGTCAGCACCCACCTGGGCACTGCACCCTGCTTGGGCTGGCTCTGAGCTGCCTCAGCAGAGCCCAGGGCTGGGCACTGCTCTGCCACCAGGATCTGCACTGCTGGGCTTCGCCATCCTGCTCTGCAACCAAGTGGCTTGGGGCAAAGCATCACTTTCCTGTTCCAAGCTGCATCCCAGCTGGAAGCGCGGTGCTGGGACAGTCGGGCCTGCTGCCCCTGGGGACACCCCGTGCCCCTGTCCCTGCCCTTGTCCCCTGCAGTCAGGTCTGCATGCTGGCCCAGCAGACCCTGGCACGCCGGGCGTGTTGCTGCGCGGAGCCGCAGCCGTGACCCACTTAGGCAGCGCAGCCCCGTTATCCGGGGGGAGGTTATTTATTGTATTTGCTAATGAGGCCCCGTGCTCCAAACGGCCTTTTGCTTTCCCACGTACCCGGCATCGCTGCACACCCTGGACACCATTCCCAGCCCTTGGAATGCCGTGGGGGAGGGAAGGGATGCCTTTCCTACCAAGCACGGGAGGCATCAGCTGGCCTCTGAGAACGCCGTGCAAATTAATCCACCCTGCTCAGTGGTACAGTGTCTGAATTCATTTTGGATTTACTTTCTGTAAATTGCTGACCCGTGGTTGGTTTGGGGGACAATGAGGCATTGTCCCCAACTGTGCAGTACACAAATGTTCGGGTGATTTTCTTTTGTGTGCATTTTTATCAGTTCGGCACAGGCACGAACCCATCAACATGCGCTTCATTATTCAGCCCTCACTGGGGGAAAGGAGCCCATGAATGTAAATTGCGTGTTAGACACCCGTTGGGTTACAATGGGCGTCGTGTCCTCCCCAGCAACACACTGTTTCATTTTATTTGTATAGCTAGCAATTCGTTGTACGTTGCTGAAGTCACAGATTTTGCCTGAAAGCTTCTTTTTAAAGTGACTTGATGCATTTAATCAGAGCAGGGTCCTTATCTTGGCCATGCAAAGTGGTGATGCCTTAGCAGAGCGATACCTCGGCCGAGTGCGTTTGCGTGCAGAGCCACCTGGTGGGAGGAGGAAAGCAGCTTTGTGCTGCACCCCGCTAAAGCCACCTCCGAGGTGGCCCCAGTGGAGGGGGAATGTCACCAGGGCTGGTGGCTGCACTGGAAACGTGTCTGAGTGGCCACAGCCCAGGGCTGACCCCTTCACCCGTCCTCCCGGTGTCCGTCAGTCCGGCCGCCCTGCCGCCGCCGTCCCCGTCTCTCCGTCCCCAGAACCAAGCAGAAGCTCATTACAAGGGCCACAAGCACGCACGGAGGCTGAAAGCCATCGAGGCCATGAAGAACAAGCAGAAGGCAGCGGGGGCTTCACTGGTGGCCACGAGCCCAGACAGCGCAGCCGACTTCGCCCCCAGCCCCGAGGGCAGCAGGGACCCCGGCAGTACAGGTACGGGGGGCAGGGGCACGGGGGGTCCCACACCAGCAGGACTGGCCAGTTCCCTGGGGCTGGTGTTCACAGCCCTGCCCAGTTGCAGCATCCTGAAGATCCCAGTTAAATCCCAACCCGTGGCAGCTTTGTGTCCAAGCATCCTGCCGCGGCCAGCTGCTGCTCAGGCTGAGGAGCCTGTGGTTGCTGCAGCAGAAACACCACCAGGAGAGCTAATAAACGAGCTTTTGTGTTCTGCTGAGGCCCCCAGCATGACAGGGAGGGTGGGAATCCAGCCCGGAAGCCTAGGGGGAGCCTGGCCCCATGTGTCCCTGCAGCAGTGGGGGGAAACGCTGGGTTCTCCCCCAGGATTTGGTGTCTCTGGGCGAGAGCAGCTGCAGGAGGGGCAGCATTCCCTGCATGTGCCCTAAGGAAGGCTCACACGTCTCCCCAGCTCTGCCCCTGCTTCAGGATGGGGCCAGTGGGACCCAGATCCCCCTGGATTGGGACAGCACTGGAGCTCACCCAGGCTTTTGTGCTGAGCCTGCCTGCCATGAGCTGCAGATAAAAGAGGGAATAGGAGAGATCTTGAGAACAGCCATCCTCAGCAGGGATGAACAGTAGGGATGAGCAGACAGTGCCCACAATGGTCTCCAGGAGGATGTGGGTGCTCTCTGAAATCCAGAAAACCTGTCCAGGCACAGAGAACTTTCCTGTTCTGTCCGTTTCTTTCTCTTTTCCCCCTTTTCCTTTCCCTCCTGCCAGCTCAAGCCAATGGTGTGCAGGAGCTGGAGGGTGAGGGCAGCAGCCGGGGGCTGCCACCCAGCGCCGAGGAGCCGCCCGCGGAGCTGCCGGGCAGCGCCGCCCCGCTGGGATCCCCGCCGGCCTCCGAGATCTCCGAGGGCACCTCAGATGCCACCAGCGTCACCTCCTCGGCTGCACCAACAGCCGAGGTGCAGGCAGCCGAGTCGGGCAGCAGTGCCAGCTCAGCCCCCGAGAGCGAGAAGGAGGGGAAGAAGAGCAAACAGCACCTGTACTGTCCCACCTGCAAAGTCACTGTCAACTCCCTGTCCCAGCTGGAGGCTCATAACACCGGTAAGAGCATCAGGGGGTGGGGACGGGCCCCTTGCAGCTCCCTCTGCAGGGAAATGGCAAGTGTTAATGAATGTTGCTTTAATTAAAACGAGGTAGTTAAGGTGGCTTACAGAGATAAGTGGTGGTGTTTTACCTGTGCCTCAGCTTATGAAGTGAATTTTAGCAAGGTCAAATGGTCTTATTGTTCATCTCTCCTAAAGACAATTTCAGATACATTTAATGAAGCTGTTGGAGGCTACAGCAGTTTGGTGTTAAGCTGGCAGCAGTGCCAGTGCCTCTCTTGGACCTGAGATAATACTTCCAAAAGCAGCTCAGGGCTTAGGGCTCAAGGCAGCTTTGGGAAGCCACTTGGGAATGTAACAAGCTCCAGACCCCGCAGTGGCTGTGGTGGGGAGAAGGGGCAGGGGGGGCAGACCCTGTGGGGCAGTGGTGGTGGGGCAGCCCAAGTGCAGGAGATTCCCAGCAGGTCTGTGGGTCCTGCAGTGCCAGCACCCAGCTCACCTCTTTCTCTGGAGGACACCCCAGGTTTAGAGGGAAGGGGCTTCTCTCCCCCAGTTCAGAAAGAACTAGGAACCAGTTCCCTCAGGCCGGGCTGCCCGCTGGCAGCAGCAGCAGCTGTGCACACGGGTTGGCTCAGGACACCACTGCGGCTTAACTGCAGACGTGTCCTTTTGCTTTTGTCAGCTCCTGTTACAAATTTAGGAGCTGATTTGGGGAGAAAGAACAAACAAACAAACAAACAAAATGTTTGCAGCTCGCGCTCCTCCGCGGCTGTCACACGCTCTCAGGCTCCTTGCTTAGCACCTTAAAAAATAGAATGAATTAGCAGTGGCTTAAATTACTTGTCCCTTGGCCCATGCCGCCGTCGCGGCGCTGGCAGGGGCAGGACAGAGCACCCTGTCCCCAGGTGTGCTGGGATTTTGGATCCCTCCTTCCTGCCCCGTGGCCCCGCTGAGCTATTCCTGGCTCTGCGGCCGGATCCCGTCTGACCTTGGGAGCAGCCCCGACGCTGCAGCTCTGCGGGCTGTGCTAATGCCCGGGGACAGGGAACAGGCTCCAGCACACCCTTAAAATAGCAGTTTCTCCGAAGGTCTGGCACATGGAGCAAGGGAGTCTTTGGGAAGCCGAGCATTTCTGGTCTGCCTGTGGAACACAGCTGGCCAACAAGAGCCTGGCAGGGCTTGGGCACAGGCCATGGTGTCCCCGACAGGAGGCCAGGCTCCCAGGCAGCTCCTTGTTCCCTCTGCCTGCAGGTGCTGCTGGGCACAGGGAGGTGGGGGACCAGGGCCCTGTGGGATGGGGGGACACACAGTGCTGCTGGGGGGGCTGCCATGGTGCTCAGCACGGCGCTGGGTTTGTTTGCAAAGTCCACGTGTGCCGAGTGTCCCCTCTGCCACCCAGGTGCCAAGCACAAGTCCATGCTGGAAGGTCACGGCACCCAGCTGCGGCGGGGCCGGGGTAAGCTCCTCTCCCGGCCAGGCCACAAGTCCAAGCGGATCGGCAACAAGGGCAGCATCAACATCCAGAACAAGGCGTTCCACTGCCAAGTGTGCGAGATCTACGTGAACTCAGAGACCCAGCTCAAACAGGTGATGATGCCAGTCCCTGGGATGATGGTACATGCCTTGCCCGGGGAACACAGGGCTGCGGGTGTGCAGATCCCTCTGCACAGGCACTGGGGCTCAGAGGTGGACACCTGACAGTCCCCCATGAGAAGGTGATGGGCATCCCCCATGGGCCCAAACCACCCAGTGCTGTGGATCTGCCCTCACTCTCCTGGCTCCCTGTGACCTGGCTGTTTTCCTCTCCCAGCACATGAGCAGCCGGAGGCACAAAGATAGGCTGGCAGGGAAGCCACCGAAGCCCAAGTACAGCCCCTACAACAAGCTGCAGAAGAATGCTGCCCTTGCAGTGAGTATTCTCAAGGTATCTGTCTGCCTGCAAACGACCCATCTGGTTTTCTCTCCAAAACATGTGTTGCCACATTAGCCACCTCCTGCAAGGAGACACAGGGGCTGCTTTTCTTAAAGCCTCTGTTCCTTGAATCCCATGATTCCATCAGAGCTGCTCCCCTAAGGGAGGATGGGCTGTAGCAGTGAGAATTTTGAGTCCTTATTGGTGGGAAAGAGAGCATGGGAATAATTGTGCATCCCCTAGCAGCAGCATTCCCAACTGCAGCCCTTGGGATTCCTCCACCCTTTCCGTGTTTTCTGAATGGCAGAGCTGTGCTGCTTGGGTGCTTGGGGCCAAGCCAAAGCTTTTGTTTGCAGAGACACATAGCTTAGCAGGGTGCTGGGCAGCAAACCCAGCAAATCGTCCCAGGGCAGCAAAGTGCTGTGGCAGGGAACAGCCCAGCAGGGCAGAGGCCAGGGCAGGCCTCAGGATCTGTGTGCTGGACCTCCCTGGGGAGGCTGTTGCCACTGGGGTACCCCTGTGTGCCCCCAGTCTGGAGGGGCTGCCCTGAGGGAGCGGGGCTGCAGGTCAGGGGCTGTGTCTGCTGCAGAGAGCTCAGCTGGAGGGGGAGGTGGGCGGGGGCTGGATCGGCAACAAGGGCAGCATCAACATCCAGAACAAGGCGTTCCACTGCCAAGTGTGCGAGATCTACGTGAACTCAGAGACCCAGCTCAAACAGGTGATGATGCCAGTCCCTGGGATGATGGTACATGCCTTGCCCGGGGAACACAGGGCTGCGGGTGTGCAGATCCCTCTGCACAGGCACTGGGGCTCAGAGGTGGACACCTGACAGTCCCCCATGAGAAGGTGATGGGCATCCCCCATGGGCCCAAACCACCCAGTGCTGTGGATCTGCCCTCACTCTCCTGGCTCCCTGTGACCTGGCTGTTTTCCTCTCCCAGCACATGAGCAGCCGGAGGCACAAAGATAGGCTGGCAGGGAAGCCACCGAAGCCCAAGTACAGCCCCTACAACAAGCTGCAGAAGAATGCTGCCCTTGCAGTGAGTATTCTCAAGGTATCTGTCTGCCTGCAAACGACCCATCTGGTTTTCTCTCCAAAACATGTGTTGCCACATTAGCCACCTCCTGCAAGGAGACACAGGGGCTGCTTTTCTTAAAGCCTCTGTTCCTTGAATCCCATGATTCCATCAGAGCTGCTCCCCTAAGGGAGGATGGGCTGTAGCAGTGAGAATTTTGAGTCCTTATTGGTGGGAAAGAGAGCATGGGAATAATTGTGCATCCCCTAGCAGCAGCATTCCCAACTGCAGCCCTTGGGATTCCTCCACCCTTTCCGTGTTTTCTGAATGGCAGAGCTGTGCTGCTTGGGTGCTTGGGGCCAAGCCAAAGCTTTTGTTTGCAGAGACACATAGCTTAGCAGGGTGCTGGGCAGCAAACCCAGCAAATCGTCCCAGGGCAGCAAAGTGCTGTGGCAGGGAACAGCCCAGCAGGGCAGAGGCCAGGGCAGGCCTCAGGATCTGTGTGCTGGACCTCCCTGGGGAGGCTGTTGCCACTGGGGTACCCCTGTGTGCCCCCAGTCTGGAGGGGCTGCCCTGAGGGAGCGGGGCTGCAGGTCAGGGGCTGTGTCTGCTGCAGAGAGCTCAGCTGGAGGGGGAGGTGGGCGGGGGCTCCCCAGCAGCAGGGTCCCTCCCTGTGTCCCCTCCTCCTTCCCCTCAGTCCAAGCTGGCTTTGCAGAAGCATCTCACCAAGACCCTGGCGACGCGCTTCCTGCCCAGCC